ATTTCGATCTGTATACATACTTTTGCGTTTTCTTTCTTTTTTTCGCCCCTATTTCAAATGCATATTTTAGATATCTTCGAAGTTGCATGATTTGAGAAATTAACAGATCACATCGGAAAGAGAAATTAAACAGATTTTATACGAGAAGCAGCCTGCCCAAGGTTGGCAACGTGTAGTTAAATCACATGTACTGATATCTGTTTATTCATTTTCCATATTTGTTTCTAGTTTATTAGTCAGATGAAGCGTTCTTCGAAACAGGTGTCTTAAAAGTACTTGACAAGATTCAAGCATTAACATTTTTTTTTTTATTTTCCCGTGATCCACGCGTCGGCTTGATTTTCCCCTTCTTCTTCTAACGTTGGTAGAAGAGGAAAAGTTGGGTAGAAAGGGAGGGGTAAAAAAAAATGCTTGCACCATTTTGGTTACTGTTCTGAAGTAATTGACTTGTCTGTGGTTAACCACATGAACAATAGTTAATAGTCCAAATTTACCATAAGAGATCGAATGGTTCGTTGAAAAATTGCATTGAACCGATCACTATTGGACCCTTATGGCCAATCATGGGATAAGTATAATAATATATCATCAAATGGGTTATGACAAATTTTCCACAAGCAACAGGTTTTGTTTTGGCCGAGTTTAATACTACTTTAACTGTGTATACGATTTAGTCATAATCTTCCTTATTACAAGATTTAAGTACGATCCTGATCTGTCTTTTCCATTTATTTTGTGCTTAATTGTCAACTTCGACTGGCTGTCCTTGAGTACTAGCTGTCATCACATGCGCCAGCGTCTGATTCCGAATACTGGTTTGGGGAGTTCAATTCTAATACCAATCCAATGGGTATAAACCGCTTTACCATTCTCAAGAAGCTTCATGGGTATTGCAGATAAAGTGTTCATATTTTCGTGGTGGATGCTCCTAGCCCCTAGGTAGGATTTCCATGTGATCATATATTATATTATAGATAAGGGATAATATCATAAACCTGCCTTGAAATTTTTCTTAATATCACTTGACATTCCTAAAATTTTAGAAATATCACCTACCTCTTCTAATAATTATAAAAATACTATATTAACCCTCATTTGACACATAATTCACAGCATATCCAATAAATAGAGTTAAAAATTTTTAAATAAAGAGAAACAATGATAGGGTGCATTTCAGTGGGTTATTTCACTAATATTCCATAGTTGTTTGGACTAAATATTGCACTATTTGATAGATTCTACTTAGGTTTTGTGCTTGGTGTTAATTGCAAAAATTGGTGAAAAAAATGTGCTGAAAATCAATTGCAAAAGACTTTTTAACAGTTAGGCACGGGCACGTTTAATTCCAGCCTTCAAGTTCGAATTCTCGGAATTTATTGCACGTGAGGTGAGAGGCTTCCAAAAAGGCATGAAGTAATAGGCTACAAATTAGAAAGCTAGTAGTAGGCTATAAAATATGAGGGACTTTTAGAATGATTTTTCCATTCAGAATTGTGGCAGTGGTCGTCCGGCAGGCTTGAGGCTGTAGAGAAATCCAAACGAGTGGCGCGGTCTTTTCCTTTCATTCTTTTCACCCCATGATTTGCACATTTGAAATTGTGACAGAAGAAAATTGAAAACGAGTGACGGTCCGTTCCTTTCATTTCCTTTCTTGATCTCCTGCATACAATTTTTTCTAGGGGTGAAGTCATTCTTCCTAATTACCAGCATCATTGTCCAGAAAATATTCACACCCTCTTTTTTTCTTTGGTCTAATTTTGGAACTTCATTGAATTTATTGTATAAAGAAAGAAAAACTTCGATGTATATTAGGATTTATTGTCCAATGACATTTACCTCAACCAAATCTACAAGATATAAAAGTACCAAGCGTGGGTACTGTTTCAATTGCAATTGATTGTGGATCGGTTATTGGTGTAATATTGGCCAATTCAAGGGACATTTTGTTAGGTTAATGGCTGCTGAGTTGTCAAATTTGTCGGGGATTGCATGGTGCCACATTGGACCGGTTATTGGTGCAATATTGGCCAATTTAAGGAACTAATCATTCCTAATTAGAATTAGAAATATATGATATAGAATCAAATAATATAAATATATATATAGAAGTATAAAAAAAAAAAAAAGAATTCCAAATGTCATTTGAATTCAAAAATGAAAAACTTAACTAATTTAACTATACTAAAACTATTTACTATCTAATAGTAGATGATAATTAGAATTTAATCGAGTGATAAAAAAATTGAAATTCTATATCGCTACATTGATCGTTGTGCTCTATAATATTCAATAATTTACTTGAAATTCTATTTTATTCTCTTCTAGATCCATATCGATTATGAATAGATAAGAAGTAATAGTGTTACTAACTCTGATTCTAATAGTTTATGGAATTCCTATCCCTATAAAATGGATATTATATGAGCCCAAAAAAATAGGATAACTCATAAAAGAAATCATAACATATGAACGGAACAATAAAAAATAAAACAAAATAATCCTTACCAAATTATCAGCAAAAACATACAACACATATTTAGGCATAACAAACCATAAAGCCCACGCTTTTATAGCAGCAAAAACAAAAACTAATTATTATCCATTTAGGCATAACAAACCTAATACAATTAATTATCTCTCCTGTAAGTATATCTACTCTAGATTCAATGGCAGATATATCATAATTATAGACAAATATGCATATGAATTTCCATTTGAAAACCATTACATGCATATTGGATTATGAGTAGAACCCTAAAATTATAAATGGTAAGCTTAAACCTGGGCATTGGCGTGGCACCCGAAAACTAGTTGTAGTTTAGGGTACACTAACTGTTGCTTTTGAAACAATTGAGAAATTAGTCAGTTAGAAGATCAATCAAATATGAAGTAACTTATGCTGATTCCTGAACTTGTACAATTAGTTAATACTTTGACTACTACTCTTAAGTAATGTGAAGCAACTAGTTTCCGCACAAAAGAAGGAACATTTTGCAAGAAAAATTACAGCAAAATCACGAATTTATTACATTATTTGGGAACTAATTTCAATACAGAGAAAGTAAGCAAAGAATCCCAATTTGAATATAATCATTTTACACAAATCCTCTGTATTTGGGTGATGCTCCAATCTCTCCAGTGAACTTTGGCAATGGCTCAACCCATTTATCCCCTGTGTCAGATTAAGGGAAGATGCTGAAGAGTAACGGCCTTTGCACTTTGTTCTCAACACCTTGCGAGTTGCACTCTTAAACTTGTCATTGCTCAATACCTTCTCCACATCAATGATGATAAGAACATTATAAAGTGTTAAAAAGGAATGAGAAAACTTGATAATGATTAATTAGTATTTTAGTATGGAGACATTTAGACGCATTCATGTTTTACAGTGCCAGAGTAGACAAAATTAAGGGTAAATTACACTTTAACCTCTTGCGAGTTAGCTTTTTTTTTTTGGCCTCACTTTTTCATAGTTTCAAAAATTATACATACTTCGCTAGCTAACGGTTTGTTTTAAATTGTGAAAATGTCGAAAGTACTCGGTATCAAAGATGGAAATTATTTGTTAACTACAGGTGATTATGTATACATTTTAAAAATTATAAAAAAAATTGCGTGGAAAAACACGGCTAAAGATCAAATTCTGGTTATTTAAGTTTTTAAGTAGAAGTAATTTTGATATTTTAGGTAGTTTCATTAGAGATGACTATTTCTACTGTTTTGATACGTTAAATCAAACTACGAACAAATTATGTAGTGTAACTTTTGAAATTATGAAAAAATTACGTGAAAAAAGATTAAATCACATGAGCATAAGGGGTCATTTATCGAAAAACTAATGACTTTATTATTTTTATTAGTATAACATACTCGAATGACATCGCCTACGCTGACTACAATTTTGTCTTCTACGGGCTGGGATCCATTGCACATCTCGGAAAAGTTGCAGGCCTCCAATGTCATCCTGATAGAGTAATGTTAGGCAATTTACATCTAATTTTTCGTCTCCTTTTTTCTTATCTCCTTTGCTTTTCCTGGTATGAAAAGATATCAAAGCATATCCAGAATCAGAAATTGGACTATGGTAGCCGCCAGCCATGATTCATTTTAGTAGAGGGCAGTATCAACTTCATGAACAGTTGAATGCTTAACTTGTACGTACCAGGACATCCAATCCGACTCCTTTAAGAGAATCTTAGCGGCTACTGGCTAGCTATCATTCGTCCAAAGGTCCAAAATGAATGTCTTTATTCTTGTGCAGAATTCCGTCACTTCTCAAAGTTTTGATAAGAGGTTAACGTTAATGGAACTTTGTGCCATCAGCTAAGAAACTGGGTGAAGAAGGTTTCAACAATGGTAACTGAAGATTAATGTGATCGTACACGACGACAATAATCAAAGTTAGCAATCTGTGATTCCCGTGCTTACCGCTTACTATCTTATTGTTTGTTACTCCAACTCCTTGAAAGAGTCTGAAAAGTGAAAAGTAAAAGAAGCTAACTTTCCAAGCTCTGGGTGGGAAGGGAACTAAGCTCAATATTTACATATTTGGCGATTGGACATTTTGGATCACCCAAGTTTGATATTCATGATGCAGATTATGGGCGGGGAAGGTCAGCAATGGTACGAGACCATTTGCATTTTAAGGACTAATGTCCTTTGAAAAGTGCAGGAAATCAGAGCGGGGAGTGGAGGTTGGGCTGGTTTTGCCAAAGATTAAATGAATGCTTTTGCAGCCATCTTCAATGATGGCCTCAGGGATTTAGACTCTGTAATCTTCTGAAAATTCTATTATAACAAGTCCCTGCAACACAACTTTAAGGTAGCTGTACATTTGTTTCCATTGAATACTCTTAAAACACTTGAAAGATGAGAAGTCATCAGTAATTGTCTTTTCTACCATGGAGCAGTTGAGATTCTCTAGGACAAACTTGCCTAATGTCCAAACATTAGGTAGTGTAAGTTCAAACCATAAGACATCAATAAGATAAGGGGTCAAATGTCAAAATTGGTAAATGTCTATTAAACTGAAAGAAGTCTACAAATGGCAGCCATATCTTAAACTTGAAACTTAAAATGGCTGGTAGCTAAATTTGTAGAAAAATCTCAAATAAAGCCAAAGCTATAATTTGCCCTACTACAGTTTTCTACGTTAGTGTCTCTCTATGTCTAAGATTTCAAGTGCCGATTTCACGACCGGCAAACTACTATATCTTCACATTTACAAACAACGTATAATTTCAGTCGCATGCAATCATTGAAAATCATGATGATTACATGTTAAAAGGATACTAGCCATTCAGCCATGGGAAAAGCAGGGTATCACGGAATTTACCAAAAATGTAACTCAAGATGGAAATCTACAAGCTCTATCTCGGAAGCAACGCTACTGCGGTTAGTATATATATGGTGGAAATAAAAGCTTCACCAGCCAACCGGAAGTAAGTTTAGATTCAAATTCTCCTCAAAGTTTGGTCAAATAGTTAAGATTCGAAAAAAACCTGCACAAGGGGAATTAAAGTGGGAACACAAGATGGCATAAGTAATTAGGCTAGTATAGACAGTACGTTTAATAATTAGAAACAATAAACAGACTTCTTTTCTTCTTGGCGGTACATTTTCATTAAACTTGCAAAGGAATATCCATCATTGAGTTGATTTAACATCAGATTGATGCCAAGACCTCAAAGTAACATTCTTCCACACTTGTGTGGTTTGAGGCAGTTCTATAAAATTAAGAGACTTTAATGAACATAGCGACCCTCCCAAATAAATTCAAGTCAAGAAGAAATCTAGTAACAGAAAAGTACTAAGCGACACGTTACAGGTTATTTGCACTTCTCCTTCAGCTTTTCTGGAGTAAATAAACCAAGCAGAAAGAAACAGGTTTGATGAAAGGGAGGCAACCACTAACGAATTCCTAGACAATACTCGGCACAGCAATCTCCACACTTGCACAAGAGAGAAATAAACTAGATCTAAAATGGTTCAAGAAGCTGGAGAATATTAGCATATCGCAAAATAACACAAGCAGAAAGGATCAAGAATTTCTAGGCTAAAGTTGAAGATCAACACCCAACCCCCAGAAAGCACATGAAGAAAAGACCAACACAAATAAATCACTAATCATGAGCAAATATATGATGTCTGTACATGGAATGGAACTTCAAAACTTCAGAATCCAGATAGCAAAATCAAGGGAAAAAAGGAACAAGTGGACCATGTGCGGATAAATATTTTTGGATCTTTACTAGGGCAGAAGGGGAGGGATGGTAGAGACAGAGAGAATATTATTCTAACAGATAAGCTCACCACTGAATCTGAAATGAGAGCACCACATGTCTATCAGATTAAATATCTAATGTCGGTGCACATCTCTTTAAAACTGACATTATTATATAGAGTTGTTACTGTCTTACAATTTGTGACAGCAACCCTTCCGTTTATTTATTATACCATTAGAGATAATCTATGCCCATCTTCTTTCCGGCCCTGACATGAAGGGGGAGTCAAGGGAGAGAAAAAGACTTGCATATGATAAATGAAGCAATTCTCCAAAGAGGAACTAAACATGGTTGAAAATGCTTGTAACTTGTTTTCAGTTAAATCAATATAAACCATCAAAGCAACAGAGATCAGAGGATGATAAAGTTCATATCTTCATACCTTTGAGCTAGCACTCCGTTGCTCCACAAGAAAGATTTCACACTAAGACAGTACAGAAAAATTCCTGTTGCATTAAGTTTCATAACCTTCACGAATTAGCACATCTGCAATCTTCTTTCTGGCCTCACTGCACAAGAAATCAGGATCCTTTCCTTCGATGGGTGGGTGAATGACAACTTTAATTCCTCCTGGGTTTAGTCGACTCTCCATTCCTGCAGGCATTATCTTGCCTGTTCCAATAAGAGTAACTGGAATCACGGGCACTCCAGTTTTCACAGCAACACTGAATGCACCTTTCTATAAAACACCAGAATGAGAATGGCATTATAGCTCGGAATGTTTGCATACCTGAGACTAATTAGCAAACTTGGGTAATAAAAAAATGGAGAAAAAGATATATATAAGATTCATTCCAAGTGTCTAACATTCAAAAGGTGAAAGCTCTAATTCTGTCATACTCACTATTACTAATTAAAGAAGCAAAGTACCTCATCTATCTAAATGCAAATATATCATTCCACAATCAACATGACCAGAATCTCTAAAAGGGATGCTTATAGTATTGTGCTTTTCTATAGAAGCAGCAGAAATTTCTAAAATGCAGCTCACCTTAAAAGTGCCTAATTTCCCGTCCTTACTCCGAGTTCCCTCAGGAAAGAAGAAAACAGATGCTCCTTTCTTAACAAGATCCATGCATCTCTTAAGACAATCCTGATGTCACAAACTAATTGATCAGTGTGCCAAAATTGCAAGTTTTAAATCAAATTAACGGAAAACAAAAATGGAAAGACAATATAACTTCAAAACCAGGAGTAAACAAACAACAGTTCTATCAAAAATAGCAGAGCTAACTCCAAGAACATTAGTTATAAGCAGAAGGAAAAACAGACCAGTTGACTTCTGCTGTCCAAGCGCTTCAAAGGAATAGTGCCCAGGAAATACATTGCCCATCCAATAATGGGAAAGAGAAAAATAGAAGTTTTGCTTATAAATTTGAAGCTTTTCCCAAGAGTAAGCAGAGTATATATGTCTAAAAAACTCTGATGATTGGACACATATACAGCAGGAGCATCCTTGGCAGGAAGATTATGCAAACCCTCGAATTCAATCTTCAAAAACGGAGAAATAGTCAAGAGTGCTCAGACTTTAGCAATGAGGTGCTGTGCTTTACGACGATACTTATCAAATAAGAGCACAAAAGGATGTGCAACCACCATCAGCACAAACAAAAAAATGGCAACAAAAGAAGTTACAGCATAAAAGCAAATTCCTCTGAATTTTGAGATTGCTTGAGATTCTGCAACCAAAAACAAAAGAATGAAGAAAAAAAGGTTAAAGTTGAAAAAAAAAAAAAATATAACAGAAGACGTTGAAAGTATACCTGATAGTGGATAGGAAGCACTAGCAGAACCACTGGCAGAAATATCAGATCTAATGATGCATCTTGACAATTTACACCTATCTGAAACACATTCATCATATACTCCACAAAACTTCTCGACAGGGCAAAAAGATAACCGAGATGCATGAGCACACCTTCTTTTACTTGTAAAATCATCTGTAAAAATTTAGTATGAAAATAGACAAATTATTAGATCTTCAATGCCCAAAGTTCAGTTTTATTGCAAAGAAAGAATGCCGAAGAGATGGTAAAGAAAGGATGGAAAGTACGATAACCGGACTTTGTTATGAACAAAAAAGAATGATATCACATCTACACATATGCACAAACATAAATATATATACCTTGAAAATGATATGTAAGGCAGTGGATACGATCTCTAAAAGTCAAAGCATAGGCAGAGAGACAGAAGCAGACAGGACACTCAAAATTATAAGAATACTACTGTAATGACGAACTTACTACATGCTTAATATCTCTACATTCATACTTTCAGCAATTTCTTTACTCTCCAACGAGCCATATTTCTATAGATAATTAAATTTTTAGGGAAAGCCCCAGGTGATATGTGATACAGAAATCAAATTTTATATCTAGTTACAAGCAAAATGTTTCGTACTCATGATTTTTTAATATTTTGAGCCAGTATTACTCTATAGAAACAGCAAGTACTCTTCACAAAAACCTTAGTACTCACTTTCACTGCTCCATGACTAATGCCTCACAAAGAATATAACTTTCAGAAGAAACCCTTATAATAGTTCAAGATTTCATCCAGATATGCATGGGAAACTCAGTACAATCATTGGTTCAATACATGACCGAGACTTTCAGAGTGAAGACATCATTTTGGGCAAAAATGACGTTGCAATCTAATATATTTCCTATTTCCCAATTCACCATCCAATTTCAAACATTCCCCAATTAAACAATAAAGTTTTAAAAGTTTGACTAGGTTTGCTATCACCATCCATCTCCCAGTCAAATTTTCCAAGAGGTTGGATCAAAATCAACTTTATAGCTCTTATGGAATTTATGATTTATCATAAACAAGAGTTTGCAAGATGTTTCCAGCTAGACACAAGCAAAAAGATCAAGTATGACAACTTCATGAAATTTATCTTATTCGGATGCAAAATCTAAACTCAGACTTTAGTCTGACAAATAACACAAAGTAACTCAATTAATGATTCTTAGGTAATTTAATTCAAAGATGCAGCTGAATAGCAAATTGAATGAAACTATCATGTTGTATTCCAACAGGGGACTATCATGAATTTATATGGTAAAAATTAAAATGGAAACCTTATTGCAAGCTGCTTTTCAACTTATTGCAGTGTATTTGTTATACAATTCATATAATAATAATTAAATCAGCTGTAAAAGCAAAGAATACTGTACTATTCAGACAAAATATTTTCAAATAGGAAGATAAAGGTGTCACTGCAAATTTCAAGAACTTGACAGCAAAATCCACTGACAAGAAAAGAAAGAGTAGAAAAAGCCTTGGCAGCTCACACAAATTAACAAAAGAAAATCAACATTATTGAAACTGACATCATAAATAATCAATAAGTAACACGACAAGGCTGTTAATTTAGGGAACAGAAACACAGTCACGACATACATCAATCAAGAAGATGCATTACAGAACGTGAAAGTAATAGTTAAGGAGTGTTTGACAATTATGTATGTCCAGAATGAACTTACATATGTTTGAAATTCTCCAAGTAGAATGTTTGAGAGGAAAAAGACCAAAGCGGAATCTATCATGAGCATTTGACTTCTGTAGATGAATGCAGTTAAGACAGTCAAAAATCTCATTGACAGCAGTATCTTTGCGTGGCAGGAAATTGGGTTTCTAAATAGCATTAGCACCTTGTAGTAGTCATAGAAATGAGAAGTTATACATTTACCTTTTGAATGAAATATAGAGATTGCATTTGCCAATAAATTGCATAAAGAATCAAACAGGATTTAAAGCAGAGATCCTCTCTCTCTCTCTCTCTCTCTCTCTCTCTCTCTCTCACACACACACACACACAAAACACAAAGCCCAAAGCAGAGATCCTCTTTAATTTTGAAATTGGCAGACATCCAAGTCAGTCGAACAAAAGGCTTGCTCTAAAAGATGGATTAGTATTAAAAATCCCGTGTGCCTTATCAATATGTCATTTATAAGGTGCCATTTAAAGAGTAAGTGCTTTCTGGTTCCAGCTGGGAGTAAATGTGACCGGATATAGTAAATTAAAGTGACAGCACAGCCACCATAGCAGCAGTGCACAAAGCCTTTGGCAGGCTCCACAGACAAAATAATTCTAATGTTGGCCAAGGCACGAGGACCCTTAGTTCACATCATATCATATGTTTGACATAGTCCACATGCTCTCCAATAGGAAAAACAAAAGGCCATGGAACATGTTACTTTGATTCTACATTTACAAACAATTTTAATCTTCTCCGTGTAGGCATTCAAATTTATAACTATCACATGTATAGGACAAGGGTTTGGTCATCAAACAAGCTGAATCAGATTTTACAAAAGAGAAAATAAAGGTGTTCTTCTATATTTCTTCCACATTCTCTCCAATAGAAGAGCACTCAGAGATAAAAGAATGAGGAAGGATCACAAACAAATTCAAGTGAACTTGGTTTGCAGGGCTAAAGTGCTACTAATCAATCCAAAACTTATGCAAATACCAGATTCAAATATTTCAAAATGTAAAAGGTATTCCATAAACTATTTCCACGTTAGGACAAATGACAGAAAAGTTACTTTTTTGGCCTCTGACAGTATTAATCTTCATTATTAGAATTGTTAATTTTGAATGGAATCTTGTTACCTAGACTTCTGAGGTCATAATGCAGTCAAATGCATGTCACAACAACGATCCCTCAAGTTCAATGTGGACAACACGCCTGACAAAATTGCAACTATTACGCTTCCATCATCGTTACCCGACAATATGCTGAAAATCCAGTCTTGAGAGCTCTACTAAATTCTAAAAACCACAAAACTGGTAGAATCAAACCTTATTGGCTAAATTTGAAGCACAACATTAAATATTAATCTCTAATTCTTACCAAGAAAACAGAAATCAAATGCTACATGACTAGCAAAACATAACTTCTACTTCAATTGGGAAACTTCTATCTCCAAATTCAATTTGAGAAATCAACCACCAAGCCGCCTAAGGGAGCAAGCGTCATGTCATATTAGCATTCAAAAAGCCAACGCCAACTAAATTTGTAATAATCAATGTCTAACAACTCATATTTTCATCTCTAACCAATGTATATATATACACATGTATACATATGTGTGTGTGTGTGTGTGTGTATTCACTTCCACAAATTAACATTTTTCGTTTCCTCTCAAATAATTAGTAGTAAGCATAATAATCAGCCTTTAACCCCTTCCTCATTAGCTATCTCCCCCACAGAATAGAATACATATATAGCTATCTAAACATGGGCAAAAACAATGGATTCCAATTAAAATGATTACAACACCAATAAGTGTGTGCTTGCGTGTGTGTATGTGTGTACACAGAAAAGATGCAAAATTGATGGACGAGGAATTACAGGGCGAACAGAGGTGCAGAGGAAAAACCCAGCTGGTTTTTGACCTGGAAAGAAAAAAAAAGAGCAGAAGCAAAGCCGCAAAGACAATCAAACACAAAAATTATAGAAAGAGTTGAACATATATTCACTGTATATACAACACACAGAAAAATGTGAAGTGGGGAAGGAAGGGGGCTTACGGAAATGGTGGAGTGGAGGGGAAGGATGGAACTGGAAATTAGCGAACTTGGATGAGGAAGACTGGTATGAGACTACCATTGTCCCTTTCCTTTGCACTCTCTCTCACACACACACAGTAAAGCAGCTATCTTTTTTTTTTTTTGTCAAAACAGTAAAGCAGCTATCTGAATGCGAGGTTTTGGGTAATTGATGAAATCTATGCAGCAGAGGAATAGATTATGAGAAGAGAACAGGGGTAGTGGAATAGTAGACCTTTCGAACTTGGGACATGACGAAACTGACAATACTAGCTAGCTCCAATGTGTTTATTCTCTAATTTTTTTTTTATGCCTAATGTATTTATTCATTGTATACTATACTAGTATTGTTACTATGAAATACTCCCTCCATCTCACCCTTTTATTTTTGTATTTATGTATCTAATCATTTTACTCAATTCTATTTGTACATAATAGTATAATAAACAACTACATCGTTAATTTCACCACAAACCAATGAAAATTTGAAACGACATAGATATCTTCTCATTGTCACCTTTTTTTCTCTGGAAAAGAAAATATTGAGTAGTGTAATTGATTGTAAATTTCATTCTTGTAAATGCAAAAATACTTACATATATAATTGTCAATCCTTTCGTTAAAAATTGCGGATCGCATTCATAACCTTTCCTTATAGTGATGAATTTTTTTTTTAATAGTGAAGGTATTTAGGAACGAATTATTGATAAATATTTCGATATGATAATTTGTTTCGGAAAAAAAAAGTTAATAGTTAACTCGGTTAATCTACAGCAGTACTCAACTCTTATAAAATTTTATTTTCAAGTTAGTGTACCTATTGCAACTCTCTAATTTTGCAAAAGCATGACGTGAGATTCAATGATTAACACTAATCATTCATGGCGATCGAATGTCGAGGTGAATGTGGTATACAAATGAGATTAACACATGAGATATAATATAACATATCTAATTTTGCTAAAGCACATTTTTCAATTTTTTTTATAATATATACATCACATCACAGAATATGTCATAGTATAATTCTAAAATTCATACAAATAATCCTCCTTTCTACAAACACGCATATGCAAGATTTAAGACTACCAAGATGGACAATACAAAAGAAGAAGGTGAGTGTAGGGAGATACGTGTAAAGTTGGTATGAATCAGTTTGATGCGGAAGCGTAGCATAGTGTGTAATAAGTCCCTAAATAGAACTATTCTACCGCTTTCCTGGATAAAAATCACTCGATCTTGCAATGTTTTTCGGATGTTACATTTGGTGCCAATTGTCGAAATTGTTCTTCCTGCAATTATGGTTTTCCACTTGTCCAAAAGATGAATACGTTTTATCCTCTATTTATTCTTCACACCTTGGCTTGGCATCCATCTTATTATTTTTGCCCAAGACAACAAAACCACATGCACATTTGCTAGAGGTGAAGAGCTAGAGAAAAAGTTTTCACGCAATGGCAGGAAATCCGGGAATCAATAATCAATCAGGGAGATTCCAGGCACCTCCACCACGGGGTCAGCAAGCCATGACGGCAGCTGGGGTAGCCACACCCATTCTGGGGCAACCGACCGCCGAGGCGGGGGCAGGGGCAGGGGCAAGCCAGGCATCACCAAAGATACCTTCGGCACAGCATAGTTCAGAGGTACTCCATCAGACAAGAAAGTTGCCCTATTGTCCAGCCAGAATGGCTATGGCTGGTTTTGCATGTGTTGCTACGTTGGCTTATTTTACGCTGTTTTCCCACAAGAAGCCCGAAGCCACTGCTCTTGACGTTGCCAGAGTTACTACTGGAACTGCTACTCCTGAAAACACCCGTCCTCGTACCTGAAAAGATCTTCATGATCACAGATATGATGCCTTAAAATTTAACTTGCTCCAGAGGATTTATTCCTGCTCCATCTGGCTTCATGAGACCAGATTGTTATTTTTGATTTTTTTACAGGAGTTCTTTAATTTGTTTGAGTGGAATGTAGATTGGGATCATTGCAATAAATGTCTTTATTTGCATGATAGTTTTGCTAAGACATCATAGTGTGCTGCTGATACAGATTTGCCTTCTCTCAAGTGACCTGAATAATTTTAAGGCTCTAAAGAGTTAAACGAGCACTACTATCTCTATACTGAATCATTAATGAGCACTATTATATCTTTCATTCCAACTGTATTAACACTACAGCACAATGGTATACACATTAAATGTCTCATATACACCGAGTATGAAATTTGAGAAAATTGAAACCTGATTCCTCTCATATTCATCAAATATAAATGATGCATGCAACTGCAAATCTATATAGCACCCCAACTGATATCACATCATGGATCCGGGGCTGAGCAAGATCTTACTGTTTCCAAATTCTAGACCAGCCAAAGAAAAGGCCGAAAGGCTATCTGACACTTTTCATCAAGCAAATCTTTCAGCTGAACAGGAATACTCTGCAGGAGAGATGTCAGTGCACCAAGTCTTTTGTTCCTTTAGAAGAGCAGGGCAACAATAACTCTCAGATAGCCAAGCTTTCTGCTCTGATTTTGGAAACTTGCCTTCATCTGCTGAAATACTGTAACGAAATGTATCTCAACTTCATACCACCGAGTGAAGATCAAGGGCGTATGATTTCCTTCTCATTTTTTCTTAAAATGCAATTACTAGTTCTATTTCTGAAATGGATATAATTAAAAATCAAACGACCATTTCAGCTTCTTTAGCGTCTTTAGGAATTCCAATATCCAACCTCATCGTGGGTTTGTAGTGTTCAGGCACAGCAGCACCGGCCTGTATGCATATTTCTACAACAGCAGGGGCTTGACCATAGAAATTTCTAAGCTCTCGTGCTAGAGGCTTATTGACGTCAGGAACATGCCACACATATCTTGGAGGTATCAAGTCATCAAGAACAGCTGTCTGCCATCCATGCTGCCCATTACGTTGCTGATGCTTGTAAGCTCCACAAACTTGGGCCTTGTGTCCACTAGGACCCACATGCACTTCTGGACAATATCCACAAACCCTCACAGGATACATCTTCATCAGCCTCTTGGCCCCTTTCCTCATTTTTTCCCATGCTTGAAGTGTTTCCTCAGCCAGCACAGCAATTTCTTCTGCACTAGAAGGGGGATTAATTTCTCCATCAGGTATTTCAGTCAATATTCGTGGCATGGGAGCTTCTGTCTCAGGGTCTGGCAAGTCACTTTCATCTGCATCAATGAACTCACTTTTCCCAATTCGTATGATTGGTTTTCTTCTTCGTTTTGTAGGATATTCAGGCAAATCAACCCCTGCCTGAATGCAGAGCTCCACTAGTGCAGGGATTCTGGGGATCGAGAATCTCTCATCGTGTGTGATACGCCTTTGCAGACGATCATAGAGGTGGTATGCTTCAATTGGCACCAGTATATCTTCAATTACTGCATCTCCCCACTCATGCTCTCCCTTACGAATTGAGGCTGTTGGTCCTTTGCATGATCTGAATGGATGACCAAACTGTCCCACATGGATTTCATTGCACCACCTGCATTAGTTTTGACATATTCTAACTCAAAAAGTTTGCAGGAAAAAGTTTGAAGGTGCATTATATAAGAGATAAATTTTCCAAAAACATCTTGACTTGTAGGACTCAATGGTCTCAAGAAATGTCAATAGCAAATTAAGATAGTCATTGTGAATGAAACATAAGGATAATATGGGATCAAATTCACAAATTGTATGAAGGAAATAAAAAGGCAAGCTTCAGACTATTAGACATTCAAATTATTGGAGTAATATTTATGCAGTTCTAAAAAGGCCAGTAATATGCTAGATGACAGACATGAATAAGTGGCAATTAGGCAGAACATTACTTGCAACCTTGAACGGGCACCACTTTCAACAACTTCTTGAGATTGTTAATCAACGTTATTCTTGCATTTAGCACACTGTAAGCAAGGGGAGTTAGGCTCTTAACAACCAAGCCATTTTTCGGAGGGGGAATTGGTCTTCTTGGTTGGCCTTTGCTGTTCTTGAACCTTTCCCTGGCAGCTCTCCTCAACTCAACTATTGGAACAGGGAAGGGCTTCTTCTCCTTCTTTGAATAGGAGCGAGGTAGATCTGCATTTTGAGGATGATCACATCTGATCACCGCGGCTTTGCATTGACCCAGGTTCTCTGATGGGCGTCTACCTCTTAACTCGGGGGCAACTGGGCTGCAGGCAAGCTGCAACCAACAAATGTACGCACTCTAAGGTATTAGTTTCAAGGTATAGACTCATCAGAGAAAAACACTCAAGGAGCAATCAACTCAAAGTTAGAGCAGTTTTAGTTATTCTCAAATTCAAGGGAGTCTGAAAAATGGTAACTGCCGGTCATGTGAAGAAGCAGTGTTGATTCAAAAATTGATCAAGTTCGTCCACCACCTAAGTCTTTATAAGATACCAGGGTAGTTTTGACTAATTAACTTGCCACCAAGGAAGACATTTTTCCAAGCTAGACAATTGATGAAACTCGAGGAATTATACCAGTTACTAGTTATCATTTCTTCAAAGGACAATAATTTCATACAGCACAAACAGGACCAGCAACAATTAGATGAAATGACTTAAAGTTTTGAATTAGAGGTTGCCACTTGCTTCCCTTGAGACATAATTCAAATACAGCATTAACTAATTTAAAAAGATGCCGAGATAAGAAAGGAGAAGTACATAACGTATAACTAGCAGTCATCCTACCAAATCAAGAAGTAAATGGATTCATGACTCAGTTCTAGTAAGAATAAGTATTCTCTACCTCACTCCCAATTTGATAAAGATGAGTACAGTTTCTCTCTAACTTTGACAAGTACAAACAGCCCCTGTACCATACAAACTTTTAACATTTACGTGAAGGATGAAAAACTGCAGCTTTAGAACTCTTCATTCAATCATCAAGTCATACCAATATGCAACTCTACATCTAAAATGTTCAGCAGATGATATACCTTGATTCAAAGTGAGACACCAGGAACTATCACTCAAAGTATGAAACTTATACAAGAGTCTTGCTTCTCTTGTTTTGAATCGTAGAGTTGAGTAGTTCCTGTGTATAACCTTCTAGTCTCCACTCTATAATGACATCATTATAATTAACCCAAAAATCTACCGTTACTAGCGCATCTACTTACAGAACTACTAATTTGGCCACACTCAACAATAATCCTTATTGAATATTAAAGACTGTAAGGATTACTCATTTCCACCATTTTTAACTGGGATTACAAGTAAATAGCCTGCAGTTTAAGATTCTTATACAAAAGGGAAACATGTGAAGAAACATAAACAAAAGAAAAAGGCATAAACATTATCTCCCAAAGCAGTTATCTCTGTATAGACATGCCCACTTTCCGAACATTATGGACAAGGGGTATCCTTAACAAGGCAATAAGTGACACCATAAGGCAGCTTAGTCTGAATTCTACACATACCTTCAAATTGAGCTTTACTTAAAGAAGGGTCATCAACAAGAAATTGGCTCGGTTCACCTTCAAGTCTTTATAGACAAAACTAACCAAATGCAGGGCAAAAGGCGTTGCAACTTGTGAGTTATAGTAGCATACCTTCAGGGAATCAAGTGAACTGAGAACCCGCTGAGGTTTATTTTCCAAAAGTTGTAATCTTGGAGAAACATTCTTCAGTTTAGCATGCCACAAAAGTGCAGTTCCAAACTGGGAGTTTACACTCCCCCAAGCCATTCCTGAAATCAGATGAATATGGTCGATTTATCATCTAGATTGTCAAAACAACAGAGCAAAAATCTGATAAAACAAAAAATGAAACTAACCAATCCCTCCAAAATTTACCAAAATATCTGCAACAGTTTTCTTTGAATTCTTTTACATAAATATTAGTGGAAGCTGACTGAGGTTAAAAGCGGATAACCAATCCCTCCAAAATTTACCAAAATCTCTGCAACAGTTTTCTTTCAATTCTTTTATATAACATTAGTAGGAACAGACTGAGGCTAAAAGCGGGGTCGGTTTGTGGATGGCCTTGGTGGGTAGTGGGAACTTGAGAAGTGAGAAGAGGAGCATCGGGATTTTGGAGATGATGGTTGGGAGACTTCAATCCTTTTGAGTTAATTGCATCATTTCTTCTAATTTTGACAAAAATATGGATTAAGCCCTGAAGTTTTTAAATTACTGGATTAGCACATTGAAGTTTGAAGTTACTAGCCTTTTCAATTCGAGAGAAGTAGGATTGGCAACGGGCTGGGCTTGGAGCGAGGGATGGGAATTGCCCATTACGTCTCCCCACCCACGGCCCGCCCCGCTTCCCCGTAGAGTTATCCGTAAGGTTAATAAAAAATTATCATATAATTTTATTATAGTTAAATTTTAATAAATAATTAAGTATTAAAATATCAATACATCATCAAATCATTATCTATTGTAATTTCACAATTAAAATTCAAAAAAAAAACTATTTGAATACAATCCAATATGATGAAACAAATACAACTAAAGTAATCAAATTTTCACTTTTGAAATTAACACAATCACTAAGTCATTATTGTATTTTTTTAAGAAAAAAAGTGTTATTGTATTAAGTATTATTAGAAATTTAGGATAAATGTATTAGTAAATTTAGTATAACTAATTACTAATTTCTATTAGTAGACATGTATAATTATTAGTATAATTGATAATATCAATTATATTACATATACTAATATATATTATATAATACTTATAACTAATAATTATTATAAGTTTGTACCTAATTAAATTAAATATTATATATATACATAAAAAAAAAATATATATATATATATATATATATATATATATATATATATATATATATATATATATATATGGGTGGCGGGCAAGGGATGGGGCGGGGGTATACTCTCCTACCCCCCCTTCCCAATTCCTACCCCATTTCTTAACGGGGAAAAAAGTCCCCCCGCCCCATTGGCCCCTCGCGGCAGACAAAAATGGTGATCCTAATTTCTAGGCCAAATCTTATTTCTGTAACCAAAGTTTCAGAATAAGGATAGAAGCAGGACTTAGAGAACCTATTCTAACTGATGGAGTTTTTTTTTCCCCTTCTTTTCTAACTAATAGAGTTGTCTATGTAGTAGAAAATTTGTTTATCGAAAAATTAGAAAGTATAAGATGAATGTTAAACATATGTGTGTCTATATGTGTGTGTGTTTATCAAATGATTAATCACGATTCCACTTTTTTTCAGACACGATATATTTTATTCTACACTTACTCCTACTGTATACTAGAGAAAAGGAGGATTCAAAGGGATCAAAGGAAGAATTCGGAGAAGGTTGAACTACCACCGAACCAATCAAATATGTGAGCACCATGGTGAAATTTTCGAAAAATCCTGGGATTTTTAAAATGCAAGTTAAGGCCCTTGACCTACACCCATTGAATGTGTACTTTTTATATAAAACGGAAGAATAGGTGTGAATAAATTCCAAATCGTGAATAACATTTAATAGTACTAATTAGAACTGTTGACGTACAACATACCATACTGAAACCTCAAAATGGATTTGTTAGTGCAAATAATTGAAGTCAAATTACATTTGCGATCATGTTTCTTTGTTTTGATGTGTCTTCTAAAACAAAATGCAAATAATATGATGTGGAATATTAGGTTGAGGTAAGATTACCTAATGGTAAATTATAATCATCTCCTTACCTTGTTTATTAGTAGTTTAAAGTAAATACATTGCAGAGTAAAGATTAAACTCAATTAAGGTAGAAAGAATACTATTATACTCGGATATCTTTGCCTTTTGATCTGAGAAATGACCCTATTTCAATGCTTTTTTTTTTTTGGATAAAATCCAAAAAAGCAATTTCATTAACAAATTGTTGGAAAGTGTCCGGCATGAATTGATCTGCATCACTATCCTAATGACAAGTTAAACATGCAATAGAAATTACAGATTTGCACCGCAACACTACCTTAATGGTAGGTTAAATATGCACTAAAAATTACATATTTGCAATTTGATAGATACAACAAATCCGAAAAATTATGAACAAATCTGAAAGATACAAGAAATTTCAAAGTTGTATAAATTGTTGCAACTTCCTTCTGTGCATGCTGCAATTGCTAAATCTACTAATAAATGGTCTTAAGGTCCACTAATGATGATGAAATCAGTTGACATAAATTCAAAATTCAAAAAAAATTTTAAATCTGACAATCAGATCTGAAATAAAATACAGATCTAACCACAAACAAAAAAAATCTCCATAAGAATCTAGAATAGAAAATTCGCACTAGAAATCCCTAGGATAAACAAAAAACTCTCGCTAAGAAAACTTACGAGAGACTTTACTAAAAAATCAAAATAAAATGAAATGAAATTCATGGGGTCTCCTTCCTTAAAGGAAGGCCTTTGAAAATAAAAGAAGAAATAGAGAAAAATTGGAGAGGAGGAGAAGTAGAGAGAAGTTGTTGAATCATAATTATGACCTCTTTCTATGCTCATTTCCTTCTTATATTAGCTTCGAGATGAAGCATTTATAATCAGGATTCTGCATATTAGCAAATTGTCCTCAAGATTTTGGTTAGTGTACATTAATGTTTTGTTTCTTCATATATTGAAAACGGCCACTGAATTCACTGTTCAATACGTAACTTAAAACCTCCATCATAATTGGTTATATGATTTTTTTTCTCCCTGCTACATATCTTCTAAACTACTAGAAATTTTGAAGCGGAAGCGGAACAGCATCAATGATGGACCTCCGAAAGAAGAGGCAACAAAATCAATTATATTTCATGTTTCCCCGATGAATTTTGTGGACGATCTTTGGACAAGTACATTCAAATCTAATGATGTATATTATGCATAATGCACATATGTCCTTGGAAAATTGAACTAATTTGGACTTATCAATGCTAAATTAAAGTGACTGAAAACACTGGAAAATACCAGAAACTCCCACCTCTTGTTCTATTTCTTCTTCTTTTTTCCTCTTGTTTTCATACAAGTCAACATTTCAGGAAGTTGATAGTACATTCTTTCCTTTTTCAATTCCATTTTACAGAAAACAAATTCGTCTGACCTACTTTAGGTAATTAATTTCAATTTCTTAAAATTTTCCTGGATTAATTTTTGCTGCAACCTAGTAAGAAAAGTACATATAGCTCATTGATGGAAATTAATAGAAAAAAAGAAAAGAGAAGACAACCGCAATATTCATTATCATACATCAGAAATCAAACGACTGAAACAAAGTTTGCCCTAAAACAACCTAAAACGAAAACAAATCAAGAAAAGAGTACCATAGTCAACATGATGCATGGTCCTAAACACAACCACAAACGACCCAAATTCCATCATGATCACTAAGCCATTGCAAACACAAATATCAAACTTGCAGCTATCAAAGCAAGCCATCCCATGAATCCAAGCTTGAGGGCATGACCAGCACCGGTGGCCGCAGCAGGAGCCGGAGCATGTTGCAAGGTTGATGGAGAAGGAGCCGGGGCAGGAGAGTGGCTCCCTGCTGAAGTATGATTAGCAGCCAGGACTCGAACGATCAGCTTCTCCCCTTTCTCACAGTGTCCATCAGCTCCACTGATGAAGTAGAATGGCCCTGATCGATCCAGCTGAATCTTGGTGTTCCCATCATGGAATTCTTTAACAGGGTTCCCTCTGCTACAGCCGTTGTAGTCTGACTCCACCACCTCTAACACTGAATCGCTGTTTTTATCGTACTCCAATACTGTTCACGACAAGAATGTAATGAAAAAAATTTAGCCAAAAAAAAGAAGAACGCGACAATTTTATTCCCATCATAAATGAAAAAGTAAAAGCAATTCATGGGCTTTAATTTTATTTGTTTATTTTTTTTTTTGTAGAATACGAGGATGGGAGTTACGAGTTGGAAACGTAATAAACTTGGGATTCGAGGAAGACGACAAATGTGTACTCAAGATACTTACAAAAGTTGGTGTAGGAAAAAAACCAATTTGGGAAATGACAAAAGGCGAAGATGGAACTTCAAGAAATGAACAAAATCCTAGTGTTCGATTCTGTAACCGTCAGAATTTTTTTTGCTTCTAAGCTTCTTTGGTGCCAAGAAAAAATAGAAAAATGCATAAAGGAAATTAACGGAAGCAGACGATTATGGGAATGGTACAGCTGGACAAAAATGGAAGAACATCCAACAAAAGTGTTACTAGTTAAAACATGTGCAGACCGGAAACAAGCAAGAAAATGAGAAGATAAGACGAAAAAAATTGTGAGACTGGAACAAGTACTAACTCCAAGAGATGAAAAAAGAAATCCTAATCCTTGAACGGGAAATTTCGAGAATCATTTCTAGTCAAACCTTCTTTAATTTAATGCCAAGAAGAATACCAAAAAAAAAAAAAAAAAATAGTGGGAAGTACGAGAAAATATACAAGTTATATATCTTGTAACAATTCAACAGGAGAAGCGATAGAAAATAGTCGATGAAAACTGATGGAAGCAGAAAAAAATGGGAGTTTCATACAACAATAATGGAAAAGCATGCAACAAAAGAGTTACTCATGTAAACATGATCAGATTGGAAACAAGCAAGGAAATGAACAAATAAGATAGGAAATATAGGGATTGAAAAGTTTTTAGAGTAAGTAGGATAAGAAGGGATCACATATTTACCGAGATAGTCTCCAATTTGGAAGCGATTTTTTTCAGCCCATTTGTTGTATTCATCAGGATAAGAAGGGATCTTCCAAGAACCTCCTTTGCCGCCAACCAGAAACTCTCTGGCTTCAGACAAAGAGAAGAGGAAGAAGACAAGGGCAAAACATGGAAAGACAGTTTTGAGTGAAGAAGCCATTTAAGAAATCAGGAGAGAAGAAACGTTTCTGAAAATACCAAGTAATACTAGTAATGTAACAACAATGCCAAGTGCTGAGAAATCCTAGTTAATGGAGCTGTATTGTATAGGGATTTGTTCTTTGGCTTTTGGTTTGGGGGCTCTTTTATATCAGTAACTAGGTTGGCCTTGGGATTTGCTTTGGAAAATCCGAAGCAATTAAGTATTGGCACGTGAGGAACAACACAAGCTTTCAAACTTGATACATACAACTGATATTCCTAGGATTCGCCTTATTTTTGGGGTCAAAAAATAGTACTAATTGAAATTTGACCACCTTCCATTATTCCTTCTTTAAACTCAGTAGATAATGCAGGTGGAAATTTTGGTCGGTTGGGACAGTAAATGTTAAAAGTTAAATGAGGAATTATTCTCATACAGTGAGGCTGCTAATTCTGTTATTTGCTTGTGGAACTCCAATCCAATCAAATCTGTATATTTGTGGTTTTTGTTATCTTGACATCTGTTTTTTTTTTGGGGGATAAAATTGTTATCTTGAGACAACTTGAAGTAACCACTTGGCAGGAAATCAGCAATTAAGATGCGTTCCCCAACGTTCGAACTTCAGTTCAAACAGCAAACTGATTAAGATAAACATTTGAATTCATAAAATCGCTCTTTTTTGGGACGTGAAACAATAGTGCCGAAAAGAAATAATTATGGAGTGCAGCTACTGGCTAGAGTAGCATCAATTAATCAATCTGCTTCTTCTTCTTCATTGTATTCCACCATTCCTACACACACACACACACACACACTTTTGTACTTTTGTCCATTTTTGTATAATTATTCTTTTTTTTTTTTTTTATAATTGAGTGTGTTTGGTTGGTAATAGACTAGCAGTAAATTATTTGAAATAATTACTGTGATGTGATATATATAAAATAAAAAATGATTGAGAAGATAAAGAGATATATTCAAAAAATATGTTTATGACGCATGCAAGTAATACCTATTTAGGTACAATTAATGTTTGATATATAATACTAATATTTTTATTATTATATTCGTGATGACATTTACGTATATGTAACAAAATATTTCAAGTATACTAATGTAATTATATATACTATCAAATAACAAATATGCCAAGAGGAAATAACACAACTGATGTGCCCCATGTCCGAGGTGGAAGAGGAGCCAAGCTTAACATACACACTTAATTGCTGGTGATGAGCTTTGTCCTTTTGAGCCTTCAAACCTGGTTCCAGGTCTTCATAATTCAAACCTGCCTTCCACTAAAAACGGATTGGAATTTGGAACCCTCATTTCTTCCTTTTTCTCAGCCTCAATAGCACAGCATCCTTTACCATCCTCATCACCATTCCTTTTTTTTTTTATTATTATTACTACCTCCATCTAATCAACCCTTAATCGCTAGCACGGGCAAAAGCAGGTTTTCACTCTTTTAGCTAATATTATTGGCTTCGGCCTTTTCCTTAAAACTGAAAAAATATGCCATCAAATTCACTGTTGAGTGGAGTGTATGTAGACCTTAGGCTCTTTTTTTTTTTTTTTTCTTTTTTGGTTGATAAATTTTGCAAAACACTTGCTTCACTGTTTCGAGTAACTGGTCCAAATACGAACGAAAGATGGGAGGTGCATCTACAAACAGTGCATGGAATACCGGGTGCATCATAAGCGTAAATATTTTGAGTATAGAATTTAGTTCATATCCCTTTTGATAATTTTAATCGTTAACTATTGTAATATTCTAATTTTTTTCCAACAAACGACAATACAGGGAATAATCTAACTATAGCTCAACGCACAATCTAACTATAACTCAACGCACACCAAAGAGAGTCTCTCTCACTCAACCTAAGGGGGATAATCTAACTATTGTAATATTCTAATCATTTTCTTAAATTTGCCTGAAATCAAAGATTATGAGAACCAAATTTGCTTTCCTCGAAACATTAGAGATCAAATATTGCAAACAAAACAACATTTTTCTCCCCATATGGTAAAATATTAATTAGATAACCTCGAGAAACACAGCTGTCCGTGACCACTCTAGTCCAGAGAGTGCTTGGTTTGCAAGCGTACGATCTCACTTGACATAAACATACATGACGTCATGTAGTATAAGATTAAGAGCGAGGAACAACAAAATAGGCCTAAATTATTCGCTACAAACAAACAGGTAATCAGAGCGAGACAGAATTACCTAAAACTTGGATTTGCTTGAACAAACTCCAGTCTCCAGTATCAAAGATAACAAAGCAGCAGTGAGTGAGCTCGCAGGAGGGAGGGGACAGAACGAGTTGTGGCAGGAAATACAAAATGCTCATTGACAGAGGGAAACCCATATTAAATACTAATAAGCCAAAGATAGGGAGCGAAGAACACAACACACTTCCATCATTTTAGTAGGGTCTTCACGATGGACTTAACATTAAGCTTCTTCAAATCCGTGTAAGATTGCCCGCAACCCACAAACATGACGGGTGATCCAGAAATGTAGACCATTGAAAGTGCAGCTCCGACCTACACCATGTTACAGCAAATAAATCCAAACATGAAGAGCCACAAAGACAATCTGAAGTACATCAACAATAAGTATTAAATATTAAAACCTCGAGCTCTCTACTTAAAACCAACAGCAGAAGTATGTACCTTATCGTCAATAGTATCAAACTTGGTGAGCAAAATCCCATCAATCAGTTGGGGATTTGGAGATGGTGAAAGGTCAGCAAGTTTCTGCAAAGATCAACATGATTAGTCAATATCTAAATGTCTGCACAAATTTCCTCAAAGGTCTTTTATCTGATTATGTGAGGCTCATTTTCAAATAGAAGAAACACACCTGATTAAACTTGGACAATTGATCTACAGCATCATTCCCAACCAATGCCTCACCAACAAACAGTATCAGATCAGGATTGTTGACATAGATAAGCTTTGAGAGTGCTCGCATCAGTGGCTCATTATCCTGTAAAGCATGAAACATAGCCATTACTGAAACAGCAGTTTACTATCTAATTTTTTCATTTCTCCACGAGGAAAGGAGCAGTGTCTGAAGAAGACATTTGCTTCTCACGCACAAACTACCTACCCACACCAGACAAGCGCTCAGCCATAAAGAGCACAAAACAGAAGCAACAAAGTCACTGCCATGTTGGTATAGTGTCAGTCTCAACACTTCAAAAAAAAAAAAAAAAATTTCTTGTGGTGAAATTTAAAACCTTCAAAAATATCTACATGCCCCACTTACATTGCGTCTTTCTTTTGCTCTTATTTTGTGTTCCCGTGACTCCTTCATTTTGAAAAAGTGTAAAGCTCTCTATGAACAAGAGAGTTATAATCCAGTTCCCTAAAAACCAATAGCCCATATCCTAGAAAAGAAAAACTATTACACATACTTGCTCCTTTTCAAATCATAAGTCCTGTTCAAGGATCTGATGACACTGAAACAACTTCTCTTATTATGACAAACAATGGAAAAGGTCTACCGAATAATGATAAAAACACAAACTTGCCATAATAGTTACAGAACCATCTGCTATTGTTGCAATGAGAATTTTATAGATATGTGAGGCAAATTCCCATTCCCACCTCCCTCCACTTATATTTCACCAAAGTTTGTCAAAACACACAGAGGAGTATATATGTGCTAATCTTCCACAGTATTTTTGGACATAATTCTGTACTACTACGAGAACATCATCTCAATAAACCAAAGCACAAAAACAAGGATGTCATCCAGTTCACATCCTATTCACAAACGTATGGAATTCAGACAACTGCAAAAGATAAAAGTCACAAGTTCAGAGGAAGCTACTCATAGTAAACACACATATTCTAATACTTTTCCTTTCAAAAATTTCCTTATTATCTAAATTGTGTTCTTCAAGAGGAAGAAATGAAAATAATAGATAATGTCAGTTTGATTGGAGGCTTTAACATTTGATCATGTAATAAAGCTTTACCTGCATCCGACCAGCAGTATCAACAAGAACCACGTCTGAACCATTTCGAGTGGCCTCTTGTACTGCTTCCTTAGCCACAATTGCAGGATCTTTCTCATACCCCTTTTCAAATATTGGGATCTGATAACAAAGTTAAACACAAATCAGTTACCATTCTAAAACTTCAATCAGATCTCAGATAACAACAGTTCAAATTTGACAATAGAAATGAGAAGGGCCAAAAGTAGCCCCTACAACATACCTGGAGTCTACGGGCATGAGTTCGGAGTTGCTCAACTGCTCCTGAACGGAAGGTGTCACATGCTGCCATCATTACACTGACCTTATGCTGCAGAAGCCAGTAAGCAACCTGTAAAAAAAAGGTAAAAAGCCATGTAAGATACACAGGCCAATACAGCCAAAAACTATCTACAGCAGAGTATCCATAAAATTCACCTTAGCAAGATTGGTTGACTTCCCCACTCCATTGACTCCGACAAAAACAACCACATAAGGTTTGCCTTGGTCCTTGGCAGCATGAACATCCCTCATAATGTCAATGGAGCGTCTAGGAGTCAAAATACGAACAAGAGCCTCTTCCATTGCAGCCTATTTCAACAATTGTAATCAATGCTATTACTTTTTATGGCCACGATAAATAGTAAAAACAAAATTAAGGGCCCTGGGGGCATCAACAAGTAACTCATTCTCTCTTCTCTCCCCAAATGATCTGTCTGTTAATTTACCCAGTTTATGTTTCAGGGGGTATTGACCTAGCATCTAATTGCACAATGGGGCTAAGTTGAGAATACCTGCACAGTTGAGGAAATTCTTGTAAAAGATGCAAGCTTTTTACCCTCAAGACTTGCCGCAACTGATTCACACAACTTTTCAGCTATTTCCTCAGCCTGTAAAGAAACCAGTAACAAGCACATTCAGCGATATATACCAGAGCAGGATTAAGCTGAATAAAACATCACTTTGAAGAAAGATTAAACACACTAACGGAAAAGATAAGTAGGAAAAATAATGGAAAGAGAGAAATATATGCATACCACATTCTTGGTCATTAGCCTATCCTTGAGAGCCTTCAAAGCAGGTTCCAGGTCGGCCTTATCCAGACTTGCCTTCCCAGCAATGCTGAGTTCAAAAGAATAAAAAAAATCAATTTGGATATCCTAACAGCTAATTAAATTAACAAAATGGAAATTCCAACAAATTTACAATGACGGCATCCTCCAGATGAATAAAGCATGACAAATAATTTTACCACATCGACTTCTCTACTTCCTATGTTGTGTTTTTTCTTTCTTATGTTCCTCTAATAAAGTCCTCCATACTTCAATTGAATATTACAAATGCAATGCTAGCTTGTAGAGAAGCACAAGCATCTGGAATAATATTTAAGGCACAGAAAATGATTAAACAGGAGGCAGAAATTACCTATTGAACATGGTTGAGAACCATCCTTTCTTCTTTGTCTCGATCTTCGCATTCTTTCCCAACTCCTCCTCTTCATCACTATCACTATCACTACTAATAATCTCCTCTCTGTCCATCATACTCTCACCATGCTCCACTGCCACAACAGGAACTTTATCAGTCCCATTCTCACTCACTGGATCAGTAAAATCCAACTTTGACACTGGAGGTGAGTCATTCCAGACTCGTGGTTTTTTCTTTAGTTCCTCCTTGGGAGCCTTACTAACAGCGGCAGTGTTAGTTTTCTTTCCACCTTTACCTCCACGCATCTTCTGGAGCTTGTCCTTATCAAAAGCCCCAGTATTGGAACTCCTATTTTCCTTACCATTAACACCACTTGCTACAGTAACTTCCCCATTTGAAACATGTTCACCATTGGTGTGCCCATTTTCATACACATAACTTTTTGTTTTATTGCCATCCTTGTCACCATTTCCATCATCACAGCTCTTTTTTTGATTTCCTCCATCCACACCACCCTTTTGTCCAAGCCCTTGCTTCTTACCCAAATTAGCATTAATAGCCTTCACAGGTTGCTTTGATTTTTTCATTTTCTCAGCAAGATCCTCTGCCTCCTTCTTAAGCTGCTGAAACGTATCATCAAAATCATTGTACACCATTCTTGTTGGTTCATAAATTTTCGAGAACTCATCCTTGACCATTTCAAGTAAATCATCCACATAGAGGAGATGGAGAATACGCTGATACACAGCAACGAACAAAAGCCCGAGTTCATTATGGAACGACCATTTAAGTGTGTATGCAGCACCAGGTGCATCATAACTGTATGATGCAGAACCCGAGCGCTCCTCCAATAGGCAAGACCTAATCAGGGTCTCAATTGGCGAGCCCCTGAGAGCATTTCCGAGCTCCCTACATGTCCAGAGGATCAATCCCCCTCTAGTAAATATCAGCAATTGTTCCAACATGTTTCGATTCTATAATCCTCCTATTCCTGCAAAAAAGATTAAAAATAAAATGAGGATCTGCTATGCTCTAATGAATAAGCATCTACGAAGAATCGAACCTAAGAACTCATGATCATAAAAGGACATGGAATTAAGGCAAGCACCGATCTCAATTTTGAAATATCAAGTCTTTCCGGCCAAAATTCCTAAGTAAAGTAACAAAAATTCAATTGAGTTACGAGACAAAAATATCCATCAAACAAATGATAAAAAATATATATCTCTCTATTCGATTATGATGTTGCCCCCAATATTAACTACGCGAAAACGATCAAAGATTAGCAAAAATTGCAAATTCAAGGTGGCATAATTTTGTAGGGATAATAACGGAGGATATCTCCGATGCACTCAATTCGTGATCTGGGTCGGGTATCCGGGTAATCATGGGTTGGATCAAGCCTTAATCAAATTAAATTGCACAACAAATCACTAACATTTGAAAACCCTATAATTCAAATGGAAACCAGCTAATTTACGAACCATACCTAGATCAGGAATTTAAGATTAAGATGGAAGGAAAAAAGGAAAGGAAAGGAAAGGGAAAGGGAAAAGAAAAAGAAAAAAGTACCTGATTTTGCTGTGAATCTGGCTAGGGGCTTTGGAACTAAAAAGAGAAGAGGGAAAGGAAATGGGAAAAGGTACAAGAAGATGCAGACAATATACGAGCAGTGCGTTTTGAAACCAACTGCTTGCGGTGGGCTGCCGGGTGGATTCGTTCTGACCCGCACCCGCGAAAGACGAAACGTGGCGATTGACGAGTCCCATTTGTTTTTATTACGGTTACTGTTGCGTTAAGCTCTTGCGGTGAAAACTGAGAGGCAAAGCAAAGGTAAGAAAGTTTTCTTTGTGTTTGGACAACAAATTATTTACACAAAATTATCTACTCGTATTATTAACACATTTTTCAACTATTTTTTTTATTATCTCGCATGTATTATATTAAAAAATATTATAATTTTTTTTAAAATTATCTCAAATAATCTCCTGTCCAAACACAATATTTTTCGTCTCGTTGACATATAATGTTGGACTTTTTTCCTCTATTGAACAATAAAATAAATTGTTAAATTAGGTCATGAAGATTGAGATTCCGAAAAATTAGAGATTTTAAGTTCTAATTTCCACTTCACTTCTTAAATTCCTCCTCTACTAAAAAATAAAATAATTATGGACTGATGTGACAATTACTCATTAAATTTTCTATAGTATATATAGTACGTTGTCTTTTTAGACTGTGAAAGATCAAGCAGTTTTTGTTCCTTCAGGCTTCAACCACCCCCCCCCCCCCCACTCCCGAAAAAATCAAATAGTTTCTATTAGTATATTGCAGTAAAATAAGAGTAACAAAATTAAGAAAATCACATTCAAAATTGTCTTATTACTCTTAGAAAAATTCTATATTAAGCGACATATGATTTAAACAACAAAAATAAACTAATGAACAACCCACCTTTTTAATTTAATTTTAGGAATTCTCATACTTGTGTCTAACGTTTGATTTACAGCCCTTTTTTTTTATAGGTAGACTCGATTGACACCTTTTCACTCTCTTATATTACTACTTAAGACTTGTATTATTGGGAGGAATTCTTATTGTTAGACTCGATTGAGACTTTCTCACTTTCTTGTAGTAATACTTGTATTTTTTATTTTTTTTTTTTTTTTTTTTGCTGACGGAGTGGATGTCCGGGTCAATTCTTACGGGGCCTACTAATCCCACTCCGGCCCGGGAGGAGAGGCCCCGTCCCCCCGAACACGGTAACCACGGGACTCGAACCCTTGCGGGAACTGGACACCAGCTCTTAAGGAGACTTGCTGAGACCAACCGAGCTGCCCATGAGGGGCTTGTAGTACTACTTGTATTGTTGGGAGGATGAAAATGACATTCACTATGATATAATGAACCACTAAATTGGCAACTCCTAGCTCCATTAACTTTTTTCTGTTTTTCTACTGCTACAAACAAGAAATTTGAAACAAAAAAATTAGTTTATTACAAAGGTCTGACTAACAAAACCATTGTGCTCCATTCTTCTAAATTTTGTTGTAGTATAGGCTTCAAAATTTTCACTGTAGAAAGTTTAGCTAGACTCATCCAAAATTATATGCAACTTCCAAGCCAGTTAAGATAAAGCCGTTACACTGACAATATATATGTAACCTCTCCTCTTCAAGAATATATAAAAGTTGGTAAGATGGTCTTAACTTTTAACACAAATACTTGCTATCCAAAATAGTAAGGGAATTTGAGAAATTGCAATGGACAGCAACAGATAATCTCTCTTGGAGGAGTGCTTGTAATCCACTCTTTTCACCTCTGAAATCAGAATTCTCTTCATGGTCTTTACCAAGAACACTCCCATGCAGAAGCTCTCCCACAAGGTAATTGCACAAAAAAGATGATCCCAAATGATCCTAGAAATGATAACTACAGATGCTGCTGTAAAAATGTATCCACCATAAGCAACCAAGTCGAGCAATGGAATATCTCCTCCACCTCCTAGAGAATGCAATGCGGCACCGAGCAGTAGAACTTGCAATATCCAACAGAGTAATGCAGTTGTAAAATGCACTCCCAAAGCTTCAGGGCTAAACCTACAGTTTAAACAAGGGTTCATCTTAATATCAAAACTCAAAATTTAATGTCACTGCAATTTTTTTTGTTAAAAAGTAATGAATTTATCCGCCAAATCAAATACCATCACAAATTGACTTGAGAGGTATAGTCTTGTCATATGTTTGATGAGGCATCAAAACTTTGGTCTGACGATATATATCATTTTTGTACTAATATCTCTTTCTTTGCAAAGCAAAATAGTGCTAGTCTAATAGTTGGGGTGGAAAGCTGACTATGACTCACTTCCCATTGATGCCCAAAAAGAAGCCAGCAAGAACCATGCAAGTGCCAAATGCCATCATGGGGATGTATAGATCAGGCGCATTAATATCACAATATGGAGGTTTGTACAAAATTTCACCTCCTCCAACCATCTCAGTTGCTCTTATCCAATGTCCCTGTATTCACAATGCAAGGTGGCCAAACAATTAAATTCATCATGCAAGCACTTTGGAAGTATAAATGAATCAAGAAAACATCCCAAGTCATTTTGTTTCAAGGAAGGAGAAAGGAATAATCTCACCTCACTGAAATATGAACATATTTTTCTACATACCTTGTGCAGAAAAGGAAAGAGAATCATCTTGATTTTATTGTTCACGTAGTCATCGTTCACTTCAAAATAGTATTGGGGATTTGAGAGGTGTCTGCTGACAAAATTGCTTTGAAGAAATGATGAACTTGACCCAAAGATTTTCTCGCCATACGCACCAAATTCATGTTTCACTAGATTGTTTCCTGCTTCAACGAAGACATTTCCAATTGGATTTATGTGCTCGGAGGTCAAGTGTCCAAGCAATATGGTATTGGTATTACTACTGGAACTTGATTTTCCATACATTGCTAGAACAAAAAAAATATGCAAGCAGTCTGCTCAAGAATCTAAGCCAACAACAGCTAGCTCCAAAATCTCTACTTCTCAGGTTTCTTTTCTTCCCAAGTTCTTTCTTTTTTTTTTGTTTTTTCGATCTTTTATTTGGACATGATAATGTGGATGGGTACGAAACTCAAGGACACTGGTATATCCAGGTTCTGAGAATTCTGAATCTTGACCCACTGGAAATGAAATAAATATTAAATTCGTTGATTGATTATGTTGCATGTGTGGATGATCGATGAGGCTACGCTTCTGGCTATATGGACTGCGCACAGGTGTAGCGTGACCATTCTATAGTCCATACCAATTTACTTTTGGAAGATTTCTTGATTAATTGAGATCTTAATAAGCACTAAAAGATACAAAACAAAGATTGTATCTATAGAAAGTTAATACTTTTAAGAACCAGCAAATGGAGATGAAAATGGGATTTCAAGAAATTGTACAGAAAATTTATCATTCTGCCTTAAAGAGAGACTAATTGATAACGAGTCCATATGACATGTCGAGCATGTTACGATCCAGTATAGAAGTTTCCATGACGCTTGTGCGAGAACCCACTAGGCCAACTCTGTGTATCATTGATTAGGATCTGTCGATCCTGGTTCAAATGGATAGAGGGTTATCTTTTTCTGGATTTCTTTTTAATGGGTCCGTATACTTAAATATGTATTTTGGGTTTTAAATTTTTACAAAGGTAAAATTAATTAAAAAAAATGTATAAATGCAAGGAATGGAGGGTAGTAATTATTAGTGTGTGTGTGTATATATGGTAGGTTATATAGAATTGAAGTATGCTAACGAGTGCTCCATTGAACACGGTTAGAAAATCATTTTTTTTAATCTCTCATATTACCGATAGATTGAAGATTTGTAGTTTTTTTTATTTAATCTTTCAAACCCTCTTCATGCTCTTGTCATCCCCAACTGTTAGGTACAATGGCAAAAACTCTAGCAACCCTACCCTAGCCATCGGGACCGACCCGACCCCAATGGTTGGAATTGTAATTAAAATCCATTTTCGTTTTGGCAAAGCTTTTCCTTCTAAATTCTTAACAAGTTCTCTTGGCTATTAGCAAACCAAGAAAGATAACAGCCAAAATCTGATTTGAGCTCTATGGCTTCTCCTCAGTGGTCAGGGGTTTGATTTCTATCTCTATCAGATTTGTAAATATTATCGCAATTTGACAGGACGGCAGGTAGGTGGAGCTCAGGAGGAGCAGTAGGAGGCGTTCCTCCTTATAATAGAATAGGATATCCTTTCGCTTAAAACTACTCCTTGTAATAGAATAGGATTTAAAAAATAATAATAATAATAGAGATATTTTCCTTTGACATATGTTACGCTGTAAACTGTGGCTCCTTCGCTACGATTATTGCAATTACTAACCCATTGATGGTTTCCTCTAGAATTCATAAACCAAGAAGAGAACCCGGGGTTGAACCTGGGATTCCATGCCAACTTTGGCCGAGAAATCATCCATTGCTACAGCGGATGTCCTTAATATTTATGTTGTGAATACATATATTTATATTAATTTGTGTGGTATAGCATTAAATTAAATAAAGGGAGAGAATGGTAGCCTTATGCATCTTTGTCATTACAAAACTTGCTTAATGTATAAATTCGCACATGTATAGAAAAAACTTATTTTACGGTATTAATTATTAACAACTGCGACTTAACAAATTCCCATTACCTTTTTTTTATCCCGTTATGCTTTATAACTCTAATGTTGGAATTTAATTCTATATCTATTTATACTTTTAACCTATAGAATTTTTTGTGTAAGTTATACGCTTATGCTAACCTCCTCTCTAATTTTTGTAAAAGCTAGGAATGTTCTCTTTCAATTTCAAAGTAACATAGACCTTTTTATCAACCAATGCATTCCATCCAAGCAGCTTTTTAAAGAGTTTTCAGTTTACAATTTTACCCCCTACCTTTCTTGTTCGTCTTCTTCATGTCTAGCAAAAGAAAATTATTCAATATAGAATTTTAATTCTTCCCAAAAGGAAGGAAAGTAGAAAAAGAAAGCTTTATTCATGTAGTTTGAGGCCCTTCAATATTTGGGATTTCATTTTAGGTTTTGTATTTACACCTATTAAACTAAAGAGATACGCATTAATATCCGTTCCTATAATGGATTCGAATAAAACGAAGTGTTTTCAACCATAAATGTATCAAATCCTCTTAATCCAAGGTGTATCTCAACCCATATAAACAT